TCTCCAATTGTAGATGATTACCCACACTTACCTACCTTTTACTTCGATAAAGTGGTGCAATCAAAAGTGAATTAGTGATAATTGTTGAAGTTTCCCAGTGAACTTGACAATAGCTCTTATTATTGCCAAACTACTGCCAACATTGAATTATTTCGGTCCTTTTTCAAAGAATCCTCAAAATAATGCTCTATGTTGAAACTCATCTTGTTTTTTTAGCCAATCCTTCCCGAATGTGTGTGTACCGATACATACGGAACGGCTCACGACTTCTGCTATCACCTTCCTGAAAATGAGTCCATTCATGGACGCAGGTTTTCATGCGATTTCGTGGCCACCATGGATCGTCTAGGTAAGATTTTTCCAGCAAGCGTTTTATGAAAGGTGAATAACTTTATGCGCTATACTTCGCTTGCCTCAGGATTGCTCAATACGTCAGATATCCCAATTGCTGTTGATAATTTTTCAAATCCTGTGTTTGTAACGGCATTTTCACTTAATCACCAGCACGAGGCCATCAATCTTGTGGGTACTTCACCGTATTTTATCGCTTGATTTCATTTTTTTCTAAATGAAAGTTTGTTCGTTTGGTCTGACGACAACGTGAAGTTTTGATTACAGCAAATACATTTTTTCTTTATCTCTAGATGTCGTTTTCACTCTATCTCCTTTCACTGATTCTGACTAAGCGCTTCATTTTTGATTGAGATTCACGATAATTGTTTTCCTGTTCCAGATGGAGTCTATAGCAAAGCATTTCCCAAAACAACGTGTAATTGCATACGATTTAGGAGGAGTGCAGATAGATTTTTCAAAGGTAAAATCGAATTTTCATGACAGCTATTATTTTTTCCGGGAAAATGAGTGCAGCCTGAAACTTGAGAGATCATGGGTAATATGCAACTACAGATATGTTCACCACTGTGAGGGTCTTGGTTTGAAGTGTACGGTAGGTTGGTAAACCGCTCATACAAACTTGATGTTCGCTCGCGTTGATGAAACTTTTCATAATGACGGGTTCGGCTAGTTTTTCTGTACTTCTTTTTTGTCATGGTTGTTGTAATGTGGATTTTTGAAGAAATACAACTTTGTGGAATCACGACTTTTCAACTTTTCACTATATCCCGATTACGTCAAAGACTTGCGGCACTACCGGTGGAAACCAATAATTATTGCAGTAAGTTATCATAATATAGATGATTCACAGCTCTACAATTATTATTTTAAAATTATGCCTATGAGATCCTATCTATTGTATTTTTGTTTTCCGATGACTGGTTTCCTTATTTCGAGTTGATTCTGATCTCTGCACTCTCGTCATCCTGATCTATCTTTTATTTCAAACTGCTCAGTCGTACTGCCATTCTTGCGATCGGTTCCTTATTAGATTCACCTTGATGCGCCGCGATTAGAGTTGTTGTCGAAGTCAGGGAGTGCATGGTACATTCCTGATTGTCCTGTTTGTTTTGGGTTCTCCAATTTCACAGGAAAACCATTTTATCATTTTTCTAATTCCTGTAATTCTTGTAGAGCGCTTTCTACTTCTGAATAAAGCTGTTTATCATTTTCCGGATATAAATAAGCCGTCAAAATGTATCCAAGACTTCTTTGTGTAACATCGACTGATTTCAGGAAACCCTGGCGGAGTTCGGTGCTATCTGGTATATGGACAGTTCAGTAGTCTTCAAAAAGGGCGACCTAGATCATGTACACCAATTAGTAAAGTGCAGAAATGAAGTCGTCGAACGGTAGTTTTTCTGACCGTTCATGGTTGTCTGATTATTGAATTTGTAACCAATAATGCAAATTCAGTGTAATTTCAGACCTCCACTAGAATCTGTCGCTGAAAGGGATAGACGAGAAAAAGAGACCAGGCACGAAAGTGGTTGGGATATCACACAGTGGAAGAGGAATTTGGCAGAATGCAGGAAGGTACGAAAACATCAACCAACATACCCAGTTCATTTTGAGTTAGGACAAAGGTATATGCAAATGATTTGAAAAATTTCAAACCAATTTTGAGTCCAAATGACCCGAAATTTCTACAAGAGGCGATTGATTTAACGATTGAATCTGGTTGCTAAAATGTTGTTAAGATATGATACAGAGCGTTTTCTGAGAATGACTGCTGAAATAAAATTTCTTCATCTATTACTGTAATTTTCGACATCTGCTTTTGTTTGTGTGGAATTTATGTTTGAGTTTTCTTTGTCTTATTGGTAAATTTTTCGCACTTGCGCCTTTTGCACACGGAATAAACCTATACCTATACCTATCGTAGACCCATTAACTGATTTTGGAGCTCACCGGCTTTTAAAAAGTGATAAGAATATTGGCCACTTTCCATTATTTGCTGGATGTTTAAGAGTTGAGCAATGAACTGGGCATGAGGTCCGCCTCAGTTCATGAAGCTCAATGAATATGATTTTAGGCAGCATATCTCATGCATGGCTACAGTGGTCATGGTATTTATCCCGCAACTTCTCCAGGTAATTCACATGTTTGGTTTCTTCCTACTCCTTTCAAATGCGCTCGATAAAGTGCCTCACTATTCAGAGATCTACAAATTTATTCCTACGAATTTCACGGAAATCAAAAAGCCAAAAGCGAAGATGTATGAGGCCGGTTTTGTCTTTGCCGTTAGAACAAGGGATACTATAGAACAGATTATGAAGTGGTAAGTTGAGAAATACTGGATTTCAATTTTTATCGACAAGGGTTTTTTCTAGAAAGTGCAGAACAGTGAGATTGTCTAGGTATAGCGCAAGTGCATGGAAAATTTGAATCTTTCCAAACTGTAGTTGATAATTGAAATTTCAAGATTTGGTTTGGATAGAGTTGGGATTATCCCTTTTTGGTTCAAAATCGTACCTTGGATTTACGCTACTCTTGCGATTTTGCTGAAATTAAACCTTTCGCTTTTGGAAGTTGTAAGTGCGAAGTGTAATGGTCGCAGAAAACAAGATGCAAGGAGGTCTTCAGTGATCATTACTCAGTAGGTTGACAATAAGCAATTTGTAATAAACCCACGAAGAATCGCACAAATGACCTGTTCGATGTCTAGTGAGGACTTCGTTCTTCTGCGATACTATCCAATCGTACTCCAGCTCGTGGAAAGTATACCTGGTCGATTAATACCTCTAAGACTATGCATCACTACCTATCGATGTTGCTCTACAATATTAGGTACGTGCTGTGTGCTCTGGAGAAAGACTGTATGGCTGGCAATCACAAGGAGCATTTGTTTTGTTCACTTGGGCCAGATCGCTTTGCATCGCCTCCTAAATGTCATAGGTGAGTCTCATATCGATCCTAACGTATAGCTTTTTGAAGTAAACGGTCACTCTCGTTTGGTTCCATAGCTTTTCATTTACATATACATAGAAATTCGATTTTTGAGGTTTTTAGCATAGATTCTGGATTCTAATTTGTTCGACATCTCGAAAGGAGCAGGGGTACGAGTTCTCTACACTTTAAGTTTTTTGTCTGCGGAATATTTATCCCGTAGCTAGAGGAGATAAATATTGCACATTAACAGCCCAGTATCCCTACTGAGTGGTTATTAACTTCTCGTTGAAAGAGTTGAAAGGTTTTTGCCGCGTTCTGGCAGGCGCGCATACTCATCAAATACCACCATGTGGGTG